CTGATGGTGATTAAACCTGGACCTTAGCCGTCGGCAGCAGCCCGAGCGTCGACACCGCTCCAATTTGAGGGGGCCTTTCGAGGTTATCCACAGTCACTTTCTTGGTTCACCACGATGACAGTCACTTAACTCTATCGTACTATTAACTAGCTTACAGAAGCCACTAACTATCGCGGGGTATAAGGTTACCGCACAAAACACGCCCGGAGTTTCTGGGTCAAAGGTCACTACCGTTTCGCGTAGCAATAGTTAATTCTAGAATCAGAGGCCGCACTAGCTTATATTGTCGAATGCACTTATACAGATTCTGAGTCGGACCCAATAAGTCCCGGGAAAGGCTATCCAAACAGGGAATGCGCGTTATAATTCCTAGACAGGATATTTACTAGACGCCCTAACTATTCCGCGGTTCCCGCAGAAAATTAACAGCGTGCAAACATTAGCACATCTGGCAGACGACAGACTGCCCTTGGGCGTTTTTCGCACGACCGAAAGTCAAACCGGTATCGCGCCGAGCCGAGTGACATCTCGCGTCAATCCTTGAAAGTGTTTGGCGCGAACAGTTAGATAGACCAGAAGATCACCAACTGATCAACCGCGACGAAAACTGTTTATAATGGATTCCATTATTTTGGAGAACAAGGAGGTGATGGCGATAGGCCTGTCTGTAGTTTGACGGGTCTGAGCGGTCGCCTTTTTTAGGGATCGGGTGAACCAAAGCTGTCTTCCATGAATTTGGGATAACGCCTTAGGAGTAGAAGTACCGGAAAAGACGCGTTAAAACAGGTGCCAACTTCGGAGCACACGTCTTCAGCACAATGGAAGGGAACCGAGCGCTGTTTAAGCCACACATCTGGCATGGAGCACTCAAACCGCGGGATGGTCGGCGGTGTATTCCTCCGTCATCGAGAGTCTAGTTCGACGCAAAAAGAGAGATTAACAGATCGGCTTTCTCCTTTGCGGCATGGACTTAGTGAGTCGCCCTCTCTTTGCAAAGATGGCTGACAGAAGTTCCCTTGGACAGCCTTAGCAAGAGACCAGAATGCACGGGTTACCGAAGGAAGGCGTACTAGCCTCTCACCTACTCCGCCAATGTGCTCTGACCTTGCCTTGGCAATGAATTTTGAAGAACCTGGAGGCGGAATTATACTTCTTTTGAAGAGCGCTGGTGTTTACATCTCGATACATCAACGTCTCGGAATGTAAAGATGTCGTCAGCCCAGTGCTGGTGCACTCTTGCTTATAGTGTGATGCTATTTTACATGAGCGACCAAACTATGGCTGGAATTTGCCTCAGATGGGCACCACAGAAGATGGAATAAAAAGTTCCATATCCTCAAGTACCACATCAGCGACAGAATCAGCAACATTGCTGGGATTGTCCAGCGAGAAGCAAATTCGCCCTGAAGGGTAGAATGCAAAAAAAAGACCGCATCCTTTCCCAATCGGCCGATCTATAGTGCCAAACACGGCGGCTACCTGCAGAATGCAACCGCGAAGATATTGTGAGTGACATCACCCTCCGGACAAGACAATGGCCCTAGGAGCCGTGAGGGGTGTCGACGGAAACCTGATATCCGTCCGGATAAGAGGTCAGCAGAAGTTCCAACAGGGACGGCGCATGATCCTCCACATCTGAAATCCGCGTAGGCAAAGTAACCAGCTAAGCAACCATATGCTAAGACAAAGTCATAAACAAATTTCCCCACATGATCGGTTAAATGTGAACCGAGCCATTCGGCGTGATGGTCGTTAAAATCGCCAAGGATCACGATCTCTGCGGATACCCCCACCCCCCTCCCCCGTATACCAGAATACACGGGGCAGCTTGAGCACACATGCTCAGGAACAGTAGGGTAGTTTGGGTGTGGGTGCTCAGCGAAGGATTCTCCATCACCAGGATTCTGGTACCCTCCTGGGATAGGTTTTATTTGATTTCACTACCATACTTAAGGGGGGGGGGGGATTGGGCCTCCGACCACCTACACCTACCAAGCGAAACGCAGAAGTAAATTTCTACTTCACGCTGGTATTCTGTGAGGTCGTGATGCTACCCTGGTTCGAGCTGGCCCATCCACGCGATAGCAAAAGTTGCCGCGTGGCTCTATCACTGTTAAAACGTAAACATGGAATAAATTCTATTTACTTTTTTTCTGCCCATCTAAATAAACAACCGATACACAAGAATAAATTATTTTCTTCATTATGAGACAAGTCCAGTCTAAACGAACAAACCAAACGCCAAACTCCCACTACACACCCTGATCGCGACTAAAACAATGTATCGCTTAAAGGCAGATAATTGAAAAGTGTGCCCGTATGCGGCGATGCCGCATAAGCACCTCGCAACGTGAATCTACCTGTCCTATTCATAACTGCCTTTACGTTTTACGGAATTAACCTGTTAATTTAGGTGTCGAAACCGTTAAGTAACCGGTAACCTTTATCGTTTAGGTTTAATAAAAACCGGTTAATTTTTTAACCGGTAGTTGAAGGAGCGATAAATTTACCGGTAATTAATCGAAATTAACCGCTCTTTTTAAATCGGTTCCGAGCCCTGCAAGGATGTCTTGAGTGACTCCAAATTGGGATAAGGCTTTGAGCACGCCTTTTCCCCCAAGTGTTGCTATATCTTGTAATCTAACGGATTCAAATCTGGACTGGAGGAGGGCCAGTCTTCGTGCCGGATGAAGTCGATTTCACGCGCCGCCAGCCAGTCTTGTGTGCTCTTCGCTCTATGAGCTGGCGCCGAATCTTGTGTATATTGTTGAATATTTTGATACACAACTGCATTCGTTTTTACACCTTTCTCACAAAAATGTACCTCTGTTAAGCCCCAATAAGAAACTCCCAACCATACCATGAGCGAGGATGGAAAATGACCCCGTTGGCCACGCGGAATACGGTTGGTCGCTTCTTCACTACTGTGTAACACCTTATCATTTTGTTTGTTGTAGCTCTCTTCTACGGTAAAAATTTTTTCTTCCGAAAAAATAATTTCCCGATATTTTTTTCCCGCGTACCGCTTCAACAAAGCGCGGCATCTCTTCAGTCTCAGGTCCATTAGACGAGCATTCAAACGATGTCCTGTTTTTCTTCGATATGCCCGAAGCCCTAAGTCTTCATTTAACACCCTTTTCACCGTGGTTCTGCTTAACCCCATCTGAAGGGATAACAGTTTCTGCTTACGTTTGGGATTTCTTTGAATTCGCGCCTTCACAGCTTTTATCACTGCTGGAGTCCTAACAGACCGAGGGCGACCACTTCTTGACCTGTCATCTACACTAGTCTTCATTGTATCGTTTGATGGTACGATAAACGAATCTTTTGGTTATATTCAAATTTTTCAGTATGTCCAAAATTTGAATTGGCGCGTAACCGCAACGATGCAACGCAACAACTGCAACACGGTCTTCTTTAAGCGTCCACTCCATATTTAAAAATGAGTAAAATTCTAAAAAGTATACAGTTTTATTTTCATATACAATTCGAAATTCGAATTCAATAAACTTTTTTGTGGCCAGCATTCTAAAAGAAAAGTTTTTACTGTGTGACAATACTTATGACCTGACTAGGTAATATATATGTGCCATTTTGTTCGATAACTTATTACCATTATGTAGGTAGTGACGTAATCTCGTTGCTGTAAACCTTGGGATTTTTGATAAAAAAAATGCGACAAGTAGTTTTGACAGTGCTCTCTTGATGTTAACCTAACACTACCCAGATAATTCTGAATAGACCGAAACAGGTGAAAATCAGAGGGTGCAAGGTCAGACTATATGGGGATGCATTAACACTTCCCAACCAAGCCCTTTCAATTTTTGCTGAGTGGCTAAAGATGTGTGTGGTTATCATGATAAAAGACCGCTTCTTTTCTGTTGAGTTTAGTTGTTGGCAGTAGAGATCTGAATTGATAGTTTTTCCCGACGGTAAAAGCTCATGATAAACGATGCCTTTCCAATCCCACCATACACACAGCATCAGCTTACTTTGTGTTAATCCGGGTTTCGCTACAGTCTGTGGAGCTTGACTACCCTTTGACCATGATGTTTTTCGCACGTTCTTGACGTAGGTGATCCACTTTTCATCACCAGTGATCAAACTTTTCACAAATGGTTTTGAAGCAACTTTGTGCTTCTCTTACTGTCATTAATCAATCAATCAAATTTTTTTCGCGACTTGAGTCGCATTTTTCCCTTTTTTATAATAAATCTTCAGAATGTATCGAATTTCTTCGTTAGATTCACTTATTTTGGCGGACAGAAAACAATTGAAAAATGGCGGGATAGTGATTTTTTTATTTTCTTTTCTTTTCTGCCGACTTCCAAAAAGGAGCCGGTACTCAATTCGACTGTATGTTTTTTTTTTCGTTTTTTTTTATGTGTGTTACCTCAGAACTTTTTTCTGGGTGAACCGATTTCGATGATTCTTTTTTTATTTGAAAGCTGGTACTTCTCGTGTGGTCCCATATGAATTTGATCAAGGTCAGACCAATAGTTTTTAAGTTATTCTTAAATAACTTATATTGAAGTCGGCTGTACAAAATTTTTAATTTTAAATTATTCTTAATGTCCTTTAAGTATTAATATTAAAACCAGTCAGATAGAAACAGTACAACCAAAGAGATTTTACTTCAATTTCATACACACAAAATACGAAAAACCTTTTTCCCCGACCTATTATTAAATAGCCCTTGCTTTTATTTCACAATAATGTATGACATAATATGATGTATTATCCAAACTTTATTCTCGCTTCTGACGATAACTTTATTTAGCTACACAAAATAATTGCACACAACTTTAGTTGAAAACAAAAATAATTTATTTTTTAATAAGAAAAAGATAAATCTCATATACTTAGTGAAACATTTAGCTTAACAAACAAAAAAAATCGAAGAACTGGATGCTTGAAATATTTTTTTGTAACTCAATCTGAAATATAGGAAAGGAAAAATATTGTATTATTTAATTTAAAAGCTTAAAGACTATATTTACCAAAGGAATTGAAACAATGTCCGAAATTGCTCGGGATCGCATGCAGCTAAGAATATCACTATCCATCTTACTATAGCAACCCAAGCTTTCGGCAGCGGCTCGAGATACTCGATCAACTTGCGAGGCATTCACACTTATTTCTTTATTAACTGCTCGCCAAATATCTCGTGGAGACATTACTATTGCTCTATGAAACAAACCTGTAGACAAATTAATGATAAATAAATAGAATTTTTTTGATAAATAGGTGTTATATAACTGCAATGAAGCCTGATTAGCTTGCTGGCAAAGCCTGGGATGATTTTCTACGAAAAGACATCCTTCTATTTCATTAATGATATAATAACTACATTAAAATTATACATTTTTGCTAACTAGGAGCCCTAGACACTAGTTTTAAATTTCAAAATTTCGTATATTTAATATAAATGAAACAGGCTTTGTAAATGAAAAGGCTGAAAACGAACAGCAGAAGCGATTAATGAAAAACGTTGTCGTGGTGTTACATGTAGCTCTTTTGTTCATATTAATTTTTGCAACCATTGTTTTTTTTTTCATTAAATTTGTACTTCTATATCGCTCTACATATACAGGCAAAAGGTCTTAAATAGGCAGACAAACTCCTTTAACACACCTAAACTAAACCTTGAACAAACTTGAACAAAATTTTATTCACCTACCTAGTGAGCGGGGAGACACCATATGATTTAACACACAGTCAGCACCAGCAGAATGTCCAACAAGTGTAATTGCGTTCGGGTCTCCACCAAATGCAGCAATATTTTCTCGAATCCATAATAAAGCGAGGTACTGATCTAAAAGTGCAAGATTGCCTCGGGCCGCTACAGAGTTAAGAGAGAAGAATGATAGTAAATGTAAGCGGTAATTTACAGTAATCACAATAACTCCTTCAGATGCTAATTCTTGACATGGCAATGTAGGTCCCCCACGCAACCACGTTTCGCTATAAAGCAAAACCATGACAGGATGTAATTTTCCATCCACTCGCTACCTGAAAATGTGCTTTCTGATAATTTTTTTCTTATCTTAAATTGAGTACAGAGATTTTTTGCTACTATCACTCCCTATAATCGCTAAGTTTATCAGGCGGTCACAAATCTAGAACGCTCGCAACTCCGAGGCTGCGCACCGTCTCATTTCCAAGTATATTTACATCTGGCATAATCAGATAGTATGCCATCATCTATTGGAGACAATGAAGTTTTTCTAACCATTCTCAGTTTTCTCGTACGATACCAGCGAGAGCGGAAAGCCTGACAACATTCATAAAATTAGTTAAATTCAATGTTAAAATTAGAATCTTAAAACTGGTTGAGCTGGCCAAAAGGACCCTAATTATGATCCTTATAGCAGACTCTTTACTTCATTACCTTCATACGAAAGAAATGTACTCGGACACAATAATAGGGCTTTTCGTAGGTGTGCTATTTTTATTTTTTTTTGGAAAATACTATTGGGCTCTCTGACCAATGACAAATTTGGCCTCCTTAAAGCTGGAATCCTCCCCAACCATATCCTAAATTTTATTATGTCAAGATTTAGTGAGGAATTGGTGACAATTAGTGACTTAAGAAAAAAAAACATGCTTGAGAGTCGTGGAACACTCGGTTAGAACGAAGTTCCTTTCGTAGTAAATTATTATCCCACCAAAAACATTCTGTAAAAAACTAGCCAAGTCTCGATGGAGCTGCTTGTTTATCTCTAAAAAGTAATGAAATCTAGACAAAGTCGTGCCAAGTCTAAGGTTCCTTAATGCGATTTCTTTATTATTATAGTTAATGTTGTGTGACTTGGCCGTTGAAGGGTACAAAATCAGGTGCTACATGACACCATTGCACCAATCTGTCGCCAGAACCGCTACCCATTGACGATGGAAAATTGCCGCTTGGAAAACGTTGATTGAATAACCAGTCAATTGTAAGCTTGATAAAGTTGCGTTTACACGTAATGTTGCACGTAATTGTGTTTACACGTAATGTTATATATCTGTTGTAACTACCTATGTTTGTTAAGCGAGATAATAGCCCATAGTGGTATTGGTAATTGGACGCTAGTGTCTCATTTTAAGCGGTTGTTGATTGTGCAACACATGCATTCAGCATTGACAATGCCGACTTCTGCTCTCTTCTTTTTGGAGCGTCAAATCGACCACCGATCTAACATAAAAATAGACGTACAGACGGACATCTATCAATGATTAGAAGTCCACCTATACTGGAAATATTTTTTTATACTGTTTGTTTCAGGTTCGCCTATACAAAAGTATTATTGAAATACGCAGCTTTATCAAGCCTACAATTGTCTGGTTATTCATGATTTATATATCAACGTTTTCCAAGTGGCAATTTTCCATCATCAATGGGTAGCGATTCTGGCGACAGATTGGTGTAATGATGTGTATGCAATGTAGCACCTGGTTTTGTACCCTTGTGTACCCTTCAACGGCCAAGTCACACAACATTAACTATAATAATAAAGAAATCGCATTAAGGAACCTTAGACTTGGCACGACTTTGTCTAGATTTCATTACTTTTTAGAGATAAACAAGCAGCTCCATCGAGACTTGGCTAGTTTTTTACAGAATGTTTTTGGTGGGATTTCACTGCTTTTTGTAGAAACGTGGGCATATTCATTTATTTTATTAGATTTTCTTATTTGACACATTTTTTTTCTTTTTTTCCGGTTCTGATTCTTATACAGTAGCAACAGTTTTTCGTATTGCCCATTCGCGTTCATTATTTAGCCTTTTAGACGGTTTAATTTCTGAAAGACCGGTGCGGTATTTACGTCTAAGTCGGTTGTATTCGGTGATCGCTGAAGCTTGAGCTTTTATACTCTTGAAGTCAACATTTATGAGGTACACCCCATGAAGATTGGTTACTCGTGAAAGCGCCACGTAGGCTTGGCCACAAGAGAATATGGAGGTGCCAATGTCCATGAGGGCATTTTTTAGACTTAGACCTTGGCTCTTGTGAATTGTTAGGGCATACGCCACACAGATTGGGATTTGTTCTCTGTACACGTATTTTTTTTTATGTACCAATAGTAGAAGGGGGCATTACCATATCTCTAATACATATGAGACCAGCTGAGGGTTCTTCATCAGATACTTCAGACCTTCGATTTTTAACATCAAATGAAGCCGCCCACCAAGTTGAATATTTTTGTAAAGGCGGTATGTCGATCTCTTCTAATAGTTTGGTTGGGCTCTTGTGTTTTCTAATCAGGGTCACCAGGTACTCCAGATCTTCGGTTATCCTTGTTTTTATAGTTTTCCCTTTATGTGGCCATTAAACCCTAACTCTGTACCAAATTTCAGCTCTCTGAGTTTATGGGAAGTACTAGTTCTATTCTGATGATCATGAGTGAGTGAGTGTCATAAATGCGAAACTTTGCTTTCGCTTAACTTCGGAACTAAATGACCTACAGACTTAAAATTTTGGATTTTAAGTATGTGATTATAGCTTACTGGGTGACGAAAATTTCTACGTTCTGGTCTTATCCGGAGGTTCTCAAATAGGGGCCTGAAAATGCGGCGAAATGGTTCCAGTAAAGGATGGTACGGCAGTGTTCGCTTCGCGCTCGACTTGGCGGGGGCACTGCCGTGCCCCCCGATTGATAAACGTATTATATTATTGATTAACAAATACAAATAAATGAATTACTAGCGTCTATTAAAATGAAGCGTCATTTAAAATAATATTTATTTTATGGCAAGATAAGAAAAACTGCGAGGGAGACAGATATTATTCCATCTCGCTCGCACTATAGAAAGGGGGTCGTGACGGAAAAATCTGAGACTTTTTAACGCGCTTTTATTAGGTCGACCTGTATGTAACTAACTACGTAATGGAATCTAAGGTAACTAATTTAACCATCTTCCAAGGATCGTAGCGTAATGAAAATTGGCACCTGTATGTAGTTTTGATGACATTACAATAATATGGTACTATCGAACTGATCAGATGATGGAGCCGGAAGATATGAACTGGAACTTCATGATGGAAAATCGTATCATAGCTGTTTTGGATTTCTTAGAAAAGTCTTGTAATGAACTTTGACCACGATTAGGTTTCAAGGTCTGATGACGAAGCCGGAAGATAGGCACTGGCATTCCGTGATGGAATATCGTATTATAGTCGTGTTTGCACTTGTGAGAAAGGCCACGTAATGGACTTTGAACACGATCAGGTTTCAAGGTATAACAAACCTATCATATATTGAATAGTGTAAATATTGACATAGGTGAAATAGGTGCCTGTATAAAATGTATACAGACATATATACATTTTATACAGGCATATATATTAGGTGCTGTCTATATACATAAAATGTATATAGACAGCACCTAATTTAGCCTATAGGCATCCAGTTCCCAGCCAAGTATATCTACGGAACGGTGGAAAGGCGCATACTCCCAGTGATTTTAAGTTAGGCGTGCACAAGATGCAAGGCTGTACGGTAGACATCGCAGTGTTAGGGTCCCGTACTTTTGCAGCTGGACAGGCGTAGGTGGCCCTAAGTAGAGTAAAGTCACTTAGTGGTCTCCAGATTGAAGAGCTAAATTGTTCTAAGCTGACAGATAAAACACCATGCAATACAGACACACTGGCGGAGATGGAGAGGATGCGGGCTCATTCGCCTACTTAAAATAAATGTATTAATGTTAAAAATATTTCGTTATCAAAGACCAAAAAGTATAAAATAAATTAATAGTTTAAAAAACACTAGAAAAACACGCTTTTATATATGCACATAAAACAAAAACTAAATTATGGATCGTTCAAGTTGTCTCTATTTCTGGCTGAAGTGTAAACTATATGTGCTTTTAATTATAATATTTGATTGTAAAAGCATGGGCCGCTGGAACAGGAAAGACTTTCTTGTTAACAAATACTAATACTAACTTCCTGGCGGAAGCTGCATGAGGTCTCACAAGAGCATAAAGTTTATGCCGCCAAAGGGATTACCAAAGGTAACCAAAGATATCTCGTCCACGAACAAGAACTCTACATTTTACCACTGTTGACGCATTACCCTTATGTACTTAATTTCCTGAAAGAAGAAGCGTTAAAAATGTCGGTGAATGTCGTCTCTCCTCGCTGCTGGCGCATGTTTTGTCTGAGTTCGACAAACTGGTACTTTGAATGGACTGTTTAATGTAGAGCCACCTACTAGTAGTGCTGCAACTCCAGTCAGAGCGCCAATCTGTGTAACCTGCTTCCCGTTTTTAACATTGCTTAACTTGATTTCTCAGCAAGTTATACAATAAGTCTTTCCTGTTCCAGCGCCGCACGCTTTTACAATCAAATATTATAATTAAAAGCACATATAGTTTACACTTCAGCCAGAAATAGAGACAACTTGAACGATCCATAATTTATTTTTTGTTTTTACGTGCATTTATAAAAGCATGTTTTCTAGTTTTTTTTAAACTATTAATTTATTCTCGCCTATCGCCTAGCCCCCATCAGTCAAATTCGAACCTTGCGATAAGGAAATTCGTTACAAAAATAGTGACTTAATACTGTAGAAGATTTAGACCTATTTTGGGAAAATTCTTATTGTCTGCGACTAATATGTGATTTAGTGCCTAATTAGTGACTTTCATATACCGGGTTTGAAACATATTGCTCCAACGGAACCGGAAATATTCATATGTCTTAGGGAGATTTCTGGCTTGAAGTTTATATATCATGGAATAACTCCAGAACTCCTATGTATTTCGCTGTGAAATATGTGTCAAGATTTAGAACCTAATTAGTGACTGTGAGTTTTAAAAAAAGCAGTCTAAATCAATTTTTTTATCAGTCAGAACTTAGTGGAAATCATAGTAAAATCATCAGAAGTTTCTAATCATACCCAGCTGCTTTAACTTGAAAATTCGTCATTCAAACTATACCTATTTTCCTATCACACAGCATTCATTCTAGGCTGTTCTGACTTTCCCTTGGCAGTGCTAACAAGTTTCCGGAACATTTTGACACAATATGCCCGGAAGTTCTTTTTTGTTCTTATTTGCTTGTTCCTTTCAACTACTTCTCCACTATTAATTCGGTATTCGATTGTAATAAACCTAGCAAGCTAACAGCATAGCAAAGTGGCGAAGCAATCAGCTTTGTAGCGGTTTCTAACGGTTGCCGTTGAGCAATCAGTTTCAAAATAGGAGGTTCAGATGCGTGGGTGATCAGTAATCGATTGCTGAAAACAGAATTTCAAAATTCGAAACCGTTCTCGAGATAATCGTGGGACAGACGGACAGACGGACAGACATCGTGAAATCAATAAGTGACTTCGCAAGCTTCGCCACTTAATAAGTGACTTCGCAAGCTTCGCCACTTAATAATGCCCTTGCTTGAATGAAATAGTGGAAACCTGGTAAACTCTTGTATCTACTCTGTGCTCTATCTTTTCGTCTTTCCTATGTATCAATATGAATCTTCTTTATGTCGAAAATAAATAAATTTGAAAAAAATTAAGATATTTAACAACAAGTCACCTACTATTTTTCTGCAAATAAATTTACAAAAAAGTATTCGTTACAAGAAGATTTTTTTCCATACATACAGTGAGGAGACTTACACCATTTTCATTTACACAAGCACACACACCCCAAACTTTCTATTAAAATCACCAAGCACTATAATAATATGTTTTTATTCTTCTTGCATTTCATTCACACCATTATTTTCGTTTCCTAAAACTGCACTTGGATATTAGTGGGCTTTGACATTTCGGGCGTGAAAGCCCAGAACCCAGAAGAAACTGAACTTTAAGCCTACGTTCTTTTGTATCTATAGCAGCCTCGGACATACAGATTCAAACTCTTTCATAGAATTACCCAATCTTTCTAAAAGTATGATACCGACCCCCAAGCATGCCTGCTACGTTTCGTCCACACTAGATCAGTAGGTAAGCGGTATACATGCCACGATGAGTGGCATCCTTTCCCTTTCGTTTCGTCTCAAATGAGAATTTCGTTTAGTCTCAAATGAGGTACACGAGATGACATTTGATTTGAATTCAAATGTTATCTCGTGTACCTCATCCATCTTGTCATATATCGCTCCACACATATTCAATAAAGATAAGTAGGTTTCCGCAAACCTCTCCTCACCCCTCTGGCAAACAGAGCATGACGGCTGACGAACCTCGTCGCCGGATTAGCTCCAGGAGATTCTTCGCACAAGATCAAATAATAATCAATAGTAATTAGTAGGATTGATTGCCGCCTTGGTCTAGTGATCGTAAGCGCGATCGCTGATCATGCGGTCTCGCGGGTTCGTATACCAAGTTGGGCCAAAATTAGTTATTGGGTTTATCTGTCAAAAAATTCTCAGTGACAAGTTCACAAGAGATTGTTGTTGATTTAAATTACATATTTAACGTGATTAAAATATATCTAAGGTAAGTGAGGGTAATATCACCTTAAGCTTTGCCGCCCTATAAAACCATAACTAGAAGGAGAGACAAATATTAATAAATCCAACAATTATTTATCTTTCTGACAATGTGCTTTTGATATCATTTATATGTATACTTACTAGATACGATTTTATGCGACAAAAAGTTGGAATCTTAATTTTTAGGCCCTAGCAGAACATACCTGCGCGCTTCGCGCTTAATGCATGCGAAACACAAAATCGTATACAATAACTAATATATTAGAAAAAAATAGCAAACAAGCTTTTGCAATAATTAGTTACACTTCGAAAAATCAACTCAAAAAAATTATACTACACAATACTAAAATATTTACAATAATTTCAACTGTCAAAATGGCGTCGATGAAGCAGCTCCCTTTTGTCCCTTTATGATTACATAGACTGATGAAGAGCTATAGTATCACTAAACCATCTATGCAAACAAGGCAGTGGTTTATGAGTTATAAAAAAGTGACCATATTAATCGGATGACCATATTACCCTCACGTACTATTATATATTTGAATGGCACCTATTATAAAAAATAAATAACGGTCTAACCCTTGGAGCGAAGATGTTTAGAAAAAGACAATCTTCGTTGTAATTCTCGCTATCCATATTTTGTTGCGGACACCGAGGAGGCATTCGATGAGCAAAGAAAGTTCGCCTCCAGCCCGAGTGTCGTTCAGGAGCCTAAAAAATTCAATGCATTTAATAAATACTTATACCGTATTGATAACGGTATACTCAATAAAATTAGTGACCGATCTAATTTTAATTTGTGTGTTATTTCCATTGGTTCTTAAATAAAATATTTTCCCTTGTAACTTTCGACATAATAGCCAAAAACTGAGTTTAAGTGTTTTTTCAATAATTTAATACTTGCCCAAAATCACTAATCTTCATCTTCATCAGTCTTTTTAAAGTTTGTTTAAGTTTTACGCAACGACGTAAAAGCTAATTTTTAAATATTTACTTTTCCTTGCTGAATCACACACCTAGTTAAAAAATACTATTTCTAGTTTAAAATATCTCAGCCAACTTACGGAAAACCTAAACTTTCCTGTAGGGGCGTTGGCGTAAGGAATCCCGTAGAATATTTCTACAGGTGTCAGAGACGCCTCGGTATAAACTTTTATCTGTAAACACATCGAAATGAGACAAAAATTATTTTAAAGATAAATAGTAAAAATTAAAAAAAAAATTAATTAATATATACTTTACCCCGACTATTCGTCCTTGTGGCAAATTAGCCGTAGGATCTTGACTTATAACACAGGAGATCAACCACAACGTAAAATACAAAATTGTAGACAAGCACATGATTTGCAAATATTATTATTAAAGTTTTACAAATTAAGGTCCGAAGAGAGCATTAGAGCGCGTTTACGCGATGAAACTGATGGCCAGCGGATGTTACATTCGACACAATAAACAGATATAACAATGATATGCTTTAGGCCATGACGAGGGCAGTGTAATGGCTATCATTGTTCTAAAAAAATCACTAACATTCTTTTGTACAAAGGTGAAAATAAATTTATACATGTCATTGGGGAATTAACCTACGCCGTGCGTAATATCCTGTCGACATCACTAAATAGCAAATTATTTTTCACGTTTATAATTACCTCTCTAAAACATATTGGCTGCCTAAAATTCAAGTAAATTTTCTGCTATCAGAAGATATTATAATTACGATGGAGAACGTTAAATGTGTGCATAATGTCTTATGAGTGTACGAGGGCAGCAAAAATAAAGCAACAATGAATCATACGCACAATGCGGTTACCGGTAACCGCATAGTGCATATGAGCCATTAGAGCACATAGACACTGCTGTGTAGTTGCGCCGTTTGACAATTCATCACCCCATTCCGTCTCTTGGTTATCGTAGGAGGCGACTTTCGCTACATGTAATGTACTCTATGATACGAGCCATGGTAGCTCAGGTTCAGGCGCTTTCTTTGCGTTCATTAAAGAGTCACCTAATTTATTTATATTATCTATCTATACAAATAAATAAAATTGAAGTGTCTGTTTGTAATGTCAAAATTACAGCTTTTTATTAAATACATATGGAAGTATGTACGGTACTAATAATAAAAATACAATTTTTTAAGTTTTTGTCTATTTGTCTGTCCGTCTGTCTGTCTGTTTGTTCTGGCTAATCTCCGAAACGGTTGGACCGATTTTGACGGGATTTTAACTGGCAGAAAGCTGTAGTTAAAAAAATTAAAACCCCAAATAACACGCAGGCGAAGTCGCGAGGAACAGCTAGTTCAACATAAAATACAATTCCATTATTTTGCAGTCGTACAGTTAAAAAAACGTAAACGACACATATTTATAGGACTCTCCTGATAAACTGCCTACTTCAGGAATTTGAGGAATTTCAGGGATTCCTCCTTGCTTCTCTACCAAAGTACAAAAAAAAACACTAAAAATGTTTGATATAACCGTTACCAACGGCAGATGTTCTTTTGTTGTGAGTAAAATAAAACTCAGAAATGGACCTTTTCTCCAAACAAAAATAGAAAAGAGACTGGATTAGAGCGAGTGTTAGAGCGAGTGTTAGAGCGAGTGTAGTTCGCACTTATGGACGCCACTGAAAATGTTGCTGCCTGGGTGATAGTACCTCGATATATGTCTGTCATGCAAAATATTTATGTCAAATAATATTATCAACAACATATATAAATTACAGCTTTATTGAAACAACGTAAATTTTGAAAACCAACGTAAAATAGCAGCTTAACGCTGCTGTGTTTTGTATGGTGAGTGTAGAGAACCGGAGACCCTTTTCACTGGCAAAGAGGCATTCCATCTTAGTCCGCACAGGTGACAACGCACCTGCATCTTGAGTCTTTATTGAGGATAGAGTAGATGTCTATGGGCTACAGCAACCACTTACCATCAGGTGGACTATGTGCTCGTTTGTCACCCTATCCTATAAAAAAAAGAAAAAATTGTACTTGTCAACCTGTCTGCCATGACCTTGGGACCGCCATAGGTGTCTGCCAATATTATTTTTCGGTAACTTTTATTGAATATTTCAAGATATCAAAGCGGCAGACTTATTACTTTCACGTTTTTTTCGGTTATTTTTTTACACCTTTCACACCTGAGCGTCTCTATATCGACCGCCGGTCAAACTAGAGAGTTCATGTACCTCAGGTATAGGGGAATAACTGAAAAAAACGTGAAGCTTATTGAAATACCGTAAGTCTGCCGCTCACTGGCTCTTAGACCATAATAACCTTGCGTCACTTTGCCGCTCACGTTTTGTACTAGACTGCGTTTCAACTGGGTAATAATTCTATGATCGATTTGATTTACCAGAAAAAATGGTTTAGTCTATGTGTATCTGTGTTAAGAAAATGTTGTCTCGAACATCACAAATCTGAGAAAATAAAATTGTACATTAATAGATCTGAATCTATAACTATGTGAAAAGATTATTTTTTCAGCCATTACAAGGATTTTAATAAAGATAGTGTTCAATCGGGTTTATTCGATAATACTTCCTGACAATTTTATCGCGTTTGTTGAATTGCTTAAGCAAAATATTTCGCGAATATTTTGATCTCGAAAGAAACATTGTAAATATTCATCATCATCATCATCATTACAGCCTTTCAGAAGTCCATTGCTGAACATAGGCCTCCGCCAAGGAATGGGCCAAAGCACGGTCCTGAGCCACTTGCATCCATCGACTTCCTGCATGTCTTACCAGGTCGTCACTCCATCTTGTGGGGAGTCGCCCTACACTTCGCCTACTAGTACGAGGTTGCCACTCGAGAACCTTTCTTCCCCATCGGTTGTCGGTTCTTCGAGCTATATGGCCGGCCCACTGCCACTTCAGCTTACTAATCCGTTGGGCTATGTCGGTTACTCTGGTTCTACTGCGGATATCCTCATTTCTAAGTTTATCACGCAGAGAAACCCCTCGGGGTTTTATAGCCTTAGCCCTCCATAGCTCGCTGAGCGACCTTGAGCTTCCTCCACGGGCAGCAGTGAAGGACCACGTCTCAGATCCGTAAGTCATCACTGGCAACACGCACTGGTTGTACAGTTTTACAATTTAAGGTTTTGAGGTATGTCTAACGAGAAGATCGAGAAGTGTCGTAGTTTCCCGAACGCTGCCTATGGCAAATACCCCCCTATGATGAGAGTTGTAAATATTGGTAGTGAAATATTAAAACGTGTGCAAGATTGTATATTTGTTATGTCACGTGAGTGCTTTCCAATTGATTATTATTTTAAAAAACTTTACATTAGATTTAGAATTTACCATTTAATTAAAGGTCATAACAAATTGTTGAAGAACAATAATTATAAAAGTAAAATATTTAAAATACGTAGTTTGTAAAAAATATTCTATCTTAAGTATCTATTAAAACTGATAAACGTGTGGTTATATAATTTTATCCTCCTACCAACCCCTGCTCCTGCCAACCCTACCAAAATAGGTAAATATTTTGACAGCTCCTTAGAAGCTTTGCCTCTGTACAGTTTCTTTACTCATGTGCTGATAGTACGCCATATCTTAAAGGTCAACCCGGTCCGGATGTACCAAAATAGTCAATGAGTACTGCTAAACCTAGAAAACATTCCCGTCTTCTCATGGCAGACCTCATTAGCCGTGGCATAGTCGCTCACGGTGAACGGAGGGTAACACACACCCCCCACCCCTAATCCCTCTTCTTTTTCCACCTCCCTGCTGGTACCACAGAATACTAAAGCAACATTGTATACGAATCGTTATGAATAAATATTAAAACAAAAGAGAAAAACACGATAAAAATTTACTATGCAATTAAATTTTCTAATGAATACACAATATTTTCACAATTCAAACTTTTACGGATGTATACGCTAGATCTAATTTCTTCAACAAAATTTTGTAGTAATAATTCATAGGTTGATTGTTGGCAAAACCTATAGTTGCTAGCATTAACCCATAACCAAGGAGTATAGACATCAACTTGTGCTTATTTAACCATTGTCGCAATCCACCCTCTGAAATAAACAGAAAAAAGGCTAGAAATTCGTTTTGTTAAATGATGTTATATTTAAACCCTGATACAAACATAAATACTCAGATTTATAGATTTAAATACATAACTAATAGTCTGGCCATATATAAGGTAGACATTTGAAAAGCTCTTTTTTTTCCTAAATCAAAATTGGCATGCGTTAATTCGATGGGAGTCAGAGAAGTTTAGAACTTGACCGTCAGCAGATTTTTGATCAGTTTATGAATTTTTATACACCAAGGCTGTCCAAGGGAACTTCTTGCAGCTGTCATTCAAGTGTCATTGCCAAGACAAAGTCAGAGCACATCGGCAGAATTGACGAGAAACTAGTTTGACTTCCTTCGGGAACATGTGTATTCTGTTCTATCGCCAAGGCTGTCCAAGGGAACTTCTGTCAGCCATCGATGCCATCACTGCACAGGGAGGATGACTCACTGGCCCATGCGTAAAGGAGAAAGGAGTTGGCACCGGTTTTAACGCATCTTTTCCGGTACTACTACTTCCTAAGCGTAGTTCCGAACGCACAGATCTGAAATGAAATCTAGTCCAGTTCAATCCCCAGAAGATACAAGTTTGCGCGATAACGAAACACCATTTCATGCCGGCACATCGCTTGCAACTTTACAAAGCGCAAGTTTGGCCTCACATCGAATACTGTTCTCATCTCTGGGCCGGGGCACCCCAGTGCCAGCTCCTTCCACTTGACAGCATCCAGCACAGAGCGGTTTGAATCGTCGATGACCGATGTCTTTCTGATAGGCTCGATTAACTGGCACTGCGTAGGGATATTGCATCCCTTTGCAATTTCTATCACATCTACCACGGGGAGTGCTCTGAGGAATTGTTCAGATTAATTTCAGCCGCCAAATTTCACGAATGCACATCGCACACGAACCACTGGACTTTATGTGCGGTAATTCCGAAAATTCAAGGGAGCAAAATATAGTTGAATTAGAAACATAAAGTATGTACCAATGCTTATTGTAGAGGGGTATAGACGAACGAAAAGTAAATGCAAACCTTCTGTCGAATGTCAAAAAGGAACACTTCACCGAACTTTCAGTATCACCCCGCGTTACATCGAAATTATAGGTACCTTCATCCATAATAAAAATATGTCAAATTTTAAATGATCGTATTTTACGCAACGCAAAGACATTTTATTAAGATGAATAACAAAATAATTAGGATATGTATTTCAATAAATAAAAGTGACACGAGTTGATCGTAAACTTGGATAGATTTTATAAAAATAGTTATTAAATATGCATCGTATCAACTAATCAGAAAATATGTCGGATTTACCTGCCAAGCATGAAAAATAGGCCAAATCTCCCCTACAATGGGAAAGACTCATGCATTGGTTATGGGCATATATTATGAAGGAGTAATGAATATTTACTAATTTCTTACCGTTTCTATGAGCGTTTGTTGTGCTAAATCTTATCGAAGTAGGCTGTTTTGCGTAAACCAGTAAATAACGCAATCTTAGTAAATCGCTATTAGTAACATAATAAGACGCTTTGACGTCAGTAGTGTTTAGTTGTTGGTTAGTGTCTTCATTATTAACTCCATCACCTAAAACAGCATAAAATGATTTGAATAAAATAAAACGGCTGTCAATAAAATTCACATGATATATTGCTTTAAATCTCAATGAAAGTTTCATTTAAATTTCATCGATAATTTTATCTACCTATTTAAATACGAAGATACAAGAATTTTACCTAAACTAAACTTTGACCTACTAGTTTGTCTAATTACAGATTGTTAGTTTTCAGCCCCCTTGATTTGGATATTTATTCGTGGTCTGGTGCCCCGTCCCTGACGTCAATGGGTGGATGACATTAATTCTTACCTATAATTTAAATTCAGTCCAGAATTCAATTTTATAAAGCTCAAAAATACAGAATAAAAAATAACGGATTCTATCGCCTTTAATTTAACTTTTAATTCCCGACGTTTCAGTTACTTTACAGCACCCATAATCACGGGGGGGGGGGGTCGAGGTTAATGAGGTGTTTGACGTCCCGCAGTCATAGTTAGCCCGGCTACCTACATTTTTTTTAAAATAATATTTGGTCTATTTTTGAATAATAATTTGAGCTTATAGTATCTTGAAGTCTTACAGTCGTATGCTTGGGTTTGGATTTAATTTTATTAATTATAGGATCCCAAGCATATGGCATGACCAGGTGACCTCCAAAGTTCATTATGAAGATGCCGTTTAGTTATATTATACCTGTTTGAACTTTTTTATTTAAGTTTGTTTGAAATAATAGAATGAAAATACCACGACTATTTTTTATTCTTTACACACAAGAAGATGATAATAATTAAAATATGTAATAAGATGTACAAAGGCCAGCATATCTCTATAAAAAATCTCTTGCAGCAAAAGCTTGAGGAAACAGATATATTTAATATTATATGTTATGGTTGACGTAAAAAATGATGTAGGTAAAAGTATAATTATGTATATTATGTTATATGCATCGGAGTCAACGATTGCACAAAACAACAAATTATAGGTTTTAAGGTTCTATTGATTACCTCTGTGTTTTAATACTGCATCAGACGCACGATCTTATCGCTAACTTAGGATACAGATAGGTGACAAGTGAGTGCATCATTTAAAGCACTAAGCACACAGTATCCTAGCCTACTACTAATTAAGATGCCCCTGTGCCAGTTTAGTGTGTACATTTGTAGCACTATGACTATAGGTATTTCCCGCGAAAAGCTTCCAGAATTATCGAGAAAATTTAGTCGTGATGTGAGAGATTATATTATATGAATAACATATAATAAATGAGTAGCATACACTTACAGCCATGGTTTATAAATGTCCCGATCTATTTAAAGAAGCAGAAAGCTTCATCAAAGACTGAATGCATGACTAGAAAATTTTAGATACTGGCAATACAGTCACATGTCATAGTAATTAAAATACTCTTTTAGATTTATAGCAATATAGCAACTACGTAATAGCTCCCTTGATAAACAATGACGATACAAGACAAGTATATATCTTCTAGAAGCTAAACCAAATACTTAATTTAAAATTTAAATTTGCTGCTGGGTGAGATAATATATCCTCAAAATTAATGAAAATTTCTAGTAAAATATTAGTAAATTAACACATTTAAGAAATAAATATTTCAAAAAAGGTTTTTTTTCTTGTAATCATTATAGCCCTTCACGATTTCACTGCTGAACATAGGTCTCATCCAAGGAGTGCCACAAAGCACAGTCCTGAGCCAGCTTCATCCATCGACTTCTCGCGTGTCTTACAAGGTTTTCACTCAATCTAGTGGAGAGCCGCCCAAACTTAACTATATTATAACAACACTATTGATTTTGCAACTTGTTAATAAACTTTGCATGCTTTTAAGATTTTGAAAAAAGCATAATAGGACATCGTTTCTATCTCCATATTATATTTTATTCCATAAGGTCTTTGATACATTAAATATTTAACAAATCTAAAATTACTTATTTCGATAAAATTCACATGCGTACCATACAGCTACAGTTTAAAGACCATACTACTTTATGGCAATACTTGGTCTGTACATTGTAGATTGGTCAATAAGCCTAAACGACAATCAGGAAACAAAAAGATACTAAATTAAGACTAACTTATCACACACATTTCACATACTAAATTGTAAATGACTGTACTATACTATATTCCAGAAAATACCCTTAACAGAAGAGAATTATTTCAAATCAAAGAGATTTAAATATTATATACAGGGTTATTTTGCAATAACCGGCCATATTTGCAGAGAAGTTTCAGAATACATAATATAGCCAAATAGTGAAGAAAAATTAATTAAAAGAAATATCAAACATTCTGTCCTTTTTATCTTTTAAATTCAAAATGCGTGTTAATGCATTATTTTAACTGATTTTACTGCGTACGCAAACATTCGTAAGGGTCAATCGGTAGGCAAAAATGTTGACAAAAATTTTGGACTTAAATTCTATTATAATGATATACCGTTATTGCAGTTTTTGAAAATACGAGTAAATAAGGCTTCTACTTTTATGTGAAATTATCCCAAATTGAATGTGATTTATGGACAATAAATCACATTACATTATACACACGCTAAAAAATAATGCTTTATTTATCATACCTGAAAAAAACAAAATGTTGGAAAGTTAAAGACAGAACACAAAAATAGTGACAGTCAAAAAGCCTGCCTATAAGTTAGCAGTTACTACAAATTGTGCTATATTGTGATAGGACTGTAACGGTGTAAGAGTTAGGTGCTCACCTTATTTTCATTGTATTGTATAATAAATATATTGCAATCTTCATTAGCATTGCTGAAATCAATCACAATTATAATAAATGCTGACTAGGCATATTACTAAAGCGTGTAAGAATAAAATATTTCGTGGGCATGACAAATTCGCCTTTTCGTTCTAAACAATGCGACTAATTTTTTTTGTACTCCGCAGTAACCTTCTAAAAATAAGAGCAGGCATGTGTTCAGCAGTAAGATATGTACATAGTTTATTTATTTGTAGTCTTTATTGCATTAGCTCAAAGACATTTAAGTATTAGTAATAGACCAGACATCAGCAACAAAATGGTCATTTGTTACTTTTCTATTGACTTCAAAAAGGAACCGGTACTCAATTCGACTGTATGTTTTTTTTTATGTGTTACCTCATAACTTTTTACTGGGTGAACCGATTTCGATGATTCTTTATTTATTTGAAAGCTGGTGCTTCACATATGGACCTGACCAATAGTTAGTTAGTGTGGGGGTGGGGGTGGGGTGTGGGGGGCAGGGGTCGTTTTCGCCCTTGGCCCCGCCGTACATTTTCATTTACCGCTTCCACCTCCTTTCCCCTTACCCCTGGCGAAGGCCCTCGGACCTAGGCGAGATCAGCGCCTTGGGTCACAGTGACTCTCGCTGATGTCGTAACAGTCTCACCCCTCGAGGTGGAGGGCTGGGGGGATTGGAGTTGGGGCGGTCCAGGCCCTATTGCAGCGTCAGAGCCTCCCCTGACCTAAAAAGTTATCATTTTAAAGCCAAGGACGACTCTGCCGCTTGCCGCTCGGAGAGCCTCCGCCGATGGGTTGTCCAGGGAAAAGGTTACTAGGAACCCATTCTCTTCGTCCCTACGGTGGATGATTTTCCAGAGCTCGGTGTGGAGCCCTTCATTCTGTGCCCTTAAGCATAGCAGCAGCACAGCCACCTCCTCTGGAGTGTCAGCTTCGCTGCGGGGCAGAAAGGTAATGCCCAGTTGAGGCTTAAGCAGTTCGCTCTCGGGTACTATCGAGAGCTCCGCCCCGGCCAGGGTTTCAGTTTTCCGATCTCACTCACAATTCTGTCTTGAGTTACCTTATTCAGGCACGTTACCAGAATCCAACCTGACTTGTGGGTGAAACCCGAAAATTTTGGTCCCATTCCCGGCTGCGCTACACAGGCCGTCTTAGCAATAGCCTGCGTTAGTGCCCGGTGGATTAGCCACATCTGCTCCACGCTCATAGGATTCAAATTGCGAATTCCTACACGCACGAAGCCACTGCTACGGCACTAAAGCTAAGCTTCTTCGTCCCCGCCGCCAGCTTCACAGACTTCCTTTTTTTTATAGGATAAGGTGACAAACGAGCACACAGTCCACCTGATGTTAAGTGGTTGCTGTGGCCCATAGACATCTACATTTATCCTCGTTTGCGAATTAAAATGCAGATGCGTTGTCACCCGTGAGGACTAAGATGGAATGCCTCTTTTCCAGTAAAAAGGGTCTCCGGTTCTCTACACTCACCATACGAAACACAGCAATGTTAAGCTGCTATTTTACGCTAGTATTCTGTGAGAGCGTGGTCCTTCCCCGGTCGAGCCGACCCATTCGTGCTACAACTATACTACTAATATAGCTGCAGCATGGCTCTACCACGTAATTTTTTTTTATTTCTGGGCTGGTCTTTAGGGGACTCCTCAGACCGACTGCGTTTTTTTGCCTTCGGTACTGGGGAGGTTTGGGCAGAGAAATTTCGTCCCAGGGCTTTTGGCAAAGAGAGAGAGGGCCTCTTCGGCTCCTATCTTAGCTGCCATCAGCCTTCGGTATCTATCTATCACGTGCTGCCCCACTTAGCTTATGAGGGCTAGTGAACTTTTTCTTTTCCCCTCCCTGGTTGGTTTCCGGCTGTGGTTCGGCTGCAGATGAGTGAGTGAGGTGAGGCTAAAAGAGCCTCTTCCAGGCCTACAGTCAGTTCCATTAAAGGAGAGTTAATTTTTTCAAAATGTCAATCTTCGTCCATTTTGGTCCCACGAGTAGCTACGGAAAAATACGGTAACCCCCGGCAGAGCCCCGCATGTCGGGGGAAGGGCTAAAATACTACCGGAATCACCCTGGTATCGGGTAGGCACCGTATGCGACTGGACTCCCCCCGCCCTCCCAACCACGTATCCATGCACGGCAAGGTACGTTTAACACCTTGGATTGGGTTAAAAATTAGCAACCGAGTAACGTCATTCAAGATGCTACCAATGTGACTGCTGTTTGAATTTATTCTTCATCATTATCATCATTACAGCCCTTCACAAGTCCACTGCTGAACATAGGCCTCCCCCAAGGAATGCCACAAAGCACGGTCCTGAGCCATCTGCATCCATCTACTTCCTGCATGTCTAACCAGGTCGTCACTCCATCTAGTGGGGGGTTGTCCTACACTTCGCCTACCAGTACGAGGCTGCCACTCAAGAACATTTCTTCCCCATCGGTTGTTGGTTCTTCGAGCTATATGGCCGGCCCACTGCCACTTCAGCTTACTAATCCGTTGGGCTATGTCGGTTACTCTGGTTCTACTGCGGATATCCTCATTTCTAAGTTTATCACGCAGAGACACTCCGAGCATAGCCCTCTCCATAGCTCGCTAAGCGACCTTGAGCTTCCTCATACGGCTAGCAGTGAAGGACCACGTCTCAGATCCGTAAGTCATCAATGGCAACATGCACTGATTGTACACTCTCGTCTTCAAGTTTGAGGTATACCTGACGGGAAGATGTGTCGTAGTTTCCCGAACGCTGCCCAGCCGAGTTGAATCCGTCGATTGACCTCTCGGTCGAAGTTGGACTTACCTAGGCGGACTATTTGTCCCAGGTAAACATACTCGTCAACAACTTCGAGCTTAGTGCTCCCAACAACTACCGGCATAGGTGTGACATGGACGTTAAACATGATTTTTGTTTTGTCCATGTTCATCTTAAGGCCTATCCGTTGGGAGACACTATTGAGGTCATTGGCATAGTGCTTAGGTCCTCCAGCGTTTCTGCCATAAGGACTATATCGTTGGCAAATCGAAGGTGAGTGATGTACTCGCCATTGATGTTAATACCGTATCCTTTCCAGTCCAGTAGCTTGAAAACATCTTCCAATGCAGCGGTGAAGAGTTTCGGAGATATAACGTCACCCTGTCTTACACCTCTCTGCAATTGGATAGGTTTCGTACTCTGATTCTGTATTCGGATAGCCATTATAGCTCTACTGTACAAACACTTCAGCACTTCGATATACCGACAGTCAATTTGGCACCGCTGAAGGGACTGCAGCACCGCCCAAAATTCGACGGAATCAAAGGCTTTCTCATAGTCCACATACGCCAGGCATAGTGGCAAATTGTACTCCTCGGACTTCTGTACAACTTGCCGAAGGGTATGTATGTGGTCTATGGTGCCAAAGCCCTTGTGAAGCACCAGCTTTCAAATAAATAAAGAATCATCGAAATCGGTTCACCCAGTAAAAAGTTATGAGGTAACACATAAAAAAAACATACAGTCGAATTGAGTACCGGCTCCTTTTTGAAGTCAATAGAAAAGTAACAAATGACCATTTTGTTGCTGATGTCTGGTCTATTACTAATACTTAAATGTCTTTGAGCTAATGCAATAAAGACTACAAATAAATAAACTATGTACATATCTTACTGCTGAACACATGCCTGCTCTTATTTTTAGAAGGTTACTGCGGAGTACAAAAAAAATTAGTCGCATTGTTTAGAACGAAAAGGCGAATTTGTCATGCCCACGAAATATTTTATTCTTACACGCTTTAGTAATATGCCTAGTCAGCATTTATTATAATTGTGATTGATTTCAGCAATGCTAATGAAGATTGCAATATATTTATTATACAATACAATGAAAATAAGGTGAGCACCTAACTCTTACACCGTTACAGTCCTATCACAATATGGCACAATTTGTAGTAACTACTAACTTATAGGCAGGCTTTTTGACTGTCACTATTTTTGTGTTCTGTCTTTAACTTTCCAACATTTTTTTTATACAGGTATGATAAATAAAACATTATTTTTTATTTTATTTTATACCTACGGATAAAATAAAATAAAAAATAATTGTACCTTTGTAACTTTCGAATTCTTATATAAATATTAATTAGTAACACCCATAATATGTTATAATCTCACCTTCATCAGTAATAGGTTTTCTAACATTGATTCCATCAGGCGTGTCGATGACTTCACACATAGCAATGCAGGACAAGTGGCCACCAATGCAACTGGCACCCCAGCCAAACCCACCGTGACTGTGTGGTAAGCTTACATTTAAATCAGGTGAAAGGTATAATCCACTACCTAAAGTTGTGTTCTGCAAAATATATTTTGTAAAATTATATTGCAAAAAAAGTTGTAATACAAAAAGGTATTAAAAAAGGACCTTGCACATCTCTTGCTGTATACCGAAATGCATCATACTGTAAACATTTTCTAAACGACTTCCATGATATGCATAGAACATTTTATAATTTTTCGACAATTCTTTCCATTTCTGTTCGGCATGAGATGTTTTTGAGTAACATACTTGAAAAATATATTGAGGTAGCGGCGTTGGTGAAGAATTCGTAATTGCAAGAATTGATTCAAACTGAAATATTAAACTACATAATATCAATACCGTACTGAAATAGAAGTTTTACGGAAAAATTGTCAGATTTCATGCATACCAATTCAGCTGGCACAGTTTTGAGACTCGGTTCTTTTAATCTGACAAGCACGTAGAATAATAAATCAATCATATCACTTATATTGGTTAAATTATCTAAATCATCTAGCTGCTGTAGGAACAAATCGAGTGCAGGTACATCAGTCAATACATTCAGCTGCAATTGAAAAATATTAATTCATAATCAAGTCTATCATTAAATAGAAAATAAATGTTATACAACCCTATTTACTAATTCATCCATATCCTTGACACCATTTTTTATAAAAGCGGGTGGAAATGGTCTTAGGCAGCTTTCGTATCTGAAGCTGAATGCGGCTGCAACGAATAAGCTCCACTTAAAATCGGCAGCTTTAAAATCTTTTTCTAACACCAATCTGTAAATATTGCAAGAATGCAAACAATCTATTTGCAATTTTTTTACTTACCTACTAGGTATACACCCATGCTTGGTATATTAAATGCCTTACCTCAAATGTACTGCCTTTTTTTCTAACGTGTCCAATTTAGCTTGATTGATGTCTGACATCGCATCCGATGCAGACGTGAAATTACAATTTGTGGTAGTAGTATCTGATAACTCTTCAGGCTCCCCGTTCATTTTTAAATTTATTTACATAATTTTGAATGAAAAAAATAATGACAAACCAATAATAAGCTTTCTAGATTGTCAAAATTTGAATTAAAAAGACATAAACAATAGAACTAGAAAAAGTATTCATAAAGTGATTAATACATGAGTTATTTATAAGTGAGTAGGTACCTACATTACAAATTAAAATAAATTAGTACAATGATCCATAGTTCTTCATCATCGTCATCGTCACCGTCCACTGAAGTTCACTACTGAACGTAAGCCTCCTGCATAAAATGACTCCTCAATGTTTGCCATACCTACCGTGCTTGGCAGGCGATTTGGCAACCACAGATTTTTTTTATTATTTTGAGTAGTTTTCAGGAAAACGCTAATGTCCATCTCTTATTTCAGTTTCCCTATATCGCCTGTTACGGCACTCAGGGATGATATAGGCACAGTCTAACTAGTCGATCATCTAAGGCGTATAGACGAGGCAATCGTGTGGTGCGGTGCGAGGCGAGCCCCGGGCTGAGCACTTAGTTTCAACATTTTCCACATACCATTAATTTGTTTAAACGTGAAATAAAATCAGTTTTTAATTTTTTTTATTACTTGCCGTTCTGACAACCCTAGCAATTTATTGTTTATGTCGGTTTTTCCGACAACATTAAACGCGATGATTGACTGTATGTTCTTCTTAAGCGCCCTCCACATTCGCGCCGTGAACACCTGTGAAAGCCGCGAATCGCGAAATCAGTAATGCACGAGACTCAGTGCCGTGAGGTTGTGCTTATTTGTATTTTTTTATAGGATAGGGTGACAAACGAGCACACAGTCCACCTGATGGCAAGTGGCTGCTGTGGCCCATAGACATCTACATCTATCCTCGTTTACGAATCAAAATGCAGATGCGTTGTCACCCGTGAGGACTAAGATGGAATGCCTCATTTCCAGTAAAAAGGGTCTCCGGTTCTCTACACTCACCATACGAAAAACAGCAGTGTTAAGCTGCTATTTTACGCTGGTATTCTGTGTGAAAGTGGTCCTTCCTCGGTCGAGCCGACCCATTCGTGCTACAACTATATTACTAATATAGCTGCAGCATGGCTCTACCACGTTTAAGACTTGTTTACGGAGGACGGTGCGTCAAAATGAGCGTCAGTTGGACGAACGAGCAAGAACTCATGTTGATCTCATGCCGAACCCATTTTATGGGATGCTAAACACAAAGATCATAAAAATAAAATGAAAGTACATGACGCATGGATGCCAATAAAGGAAATAATGAGTATTGAAATGACTGATTTTAAAAACAATGTATCTTTGTCATCCACCATCTTCTTTTTCTCCATTTTTTTTAATCTTTTATATACACGTAATTTAAGTGAGCCAAAGCGCATAGCGTCACGGCGATAACAGTGCATTATGTCGGCGTCCATTCTTGAAGAGCGCGCGAACTAAACTGTGTGTGAACGATAGGTAACGAATGTGGAGGGACATGTTTTTCGCGACGACTTCGCGGCAAAATTACGGTGTGAATTCACGCCGTGAATCACAAAGGAGTCTGGAGCCCGCCTTAGGCTGTGATATAGGGCAGAGAATTCTCTTTGCCGCCACTTTACGGCGACCATTGTTTTTACTTTAAAAAAAAATTCTTTAATAAAATAGGCCTGATTAACGTAACGCTCAATAACCGTGTATAAACTATTAAAATTCATAATAGTGAAGTTTCGTAGTCGTAGTCGAAAATAAATTCTATTTTCGAAATATGCTAGTTCTAAATTCTAATAACAAAATAGTTTGGAAAATCCAAAAATAAATTACCAAAATAAATCGATTATACAAAATATAAAATCGATATAGGCTGATGGTACATTAATTTGTCTAACAAGAGTTAAAAAAAATATGAAAGCGCCTCAAAATTTTTAATAGCAATAAAACTTCTAAAAGTTGAAAATCATTTTATACAAAGAAACTACGCGTACTAGGCTATTGATATGAAATAGGGAACCAGTAGTGGCGGGTAAAAATACCCACTACCCCATATCTTCCCGTGGGTGTCGTAAGTGGCGACAGAGGGAAACTGAGGCAGAAGATGCGCTTCAGCATCTTTCTGATAAAAGCAAAAAGCAATAAAACAACTGCGATCGCTAACCCGTTCGCCAAGTGTGACAACTATGGCAGTATACCCCCATGAGCAACGACACTAATAAACGGCCCCCAGTCCCCGGCGGCCCCGCTATTCCTGGCTACGGTGGCGACTATGGTAACGACGGGGCAGGATTATCCGAGGTCCGAAGAGAGGGGGAGGACACGGTAATCCTCGAATCCGGTAACTTGTTTTATCACCGGGAGGGCGACCATCTGTCCCAAGGAGGTGTCGGATTTATCGTCCACAAGTCTCTCGTTACCAACGTTGTAAAGGTTGTGAGTATGTCGACGAGGGTTGTGTACCTTATACTCAGAATTTCCAAACGGTATTCGCTGAAAGCCATACAGGTTTACGCACCAATCTCGGCACATCCCGATGAGTAGGTGGAGGAAATGTATGAAGCTATCTCTATACGGTGTTAATGGGAGACTTCAACGCAAAACTACGCACAAGAGAAAACGGTGAGTTGAAAGTAGGGAAATTCGGAAAGGGGCAACGGAACCCAAAGGGCCAGCAGCTGGCCGACTTCATAAAAAAAGAGGGATTCTTTATGATGAACTCTTTCTTCCAGAAGCGGTCCCACAGGAATTTGTCTTAGTCGACTCCGACGGTTCTACAAAAAATGAGATTGACTTTATTATTGTATGACGACTAGACGATAACTGTTCAGTGATGTCTCAGTGATCGCGAGGGTGAAAACTGGTAGCGATCACCGAATGGTTAAAAGCACACTGAACCTAAACGTTAAGTTGCAGAGGTGTCGGCTAATGAAGTCAACGCTCCGTCCCCCTCGTACTCTAATCCAAAGTCCCAAAACCTTTCAGGTCGAGTTACAAAACATTTTTCAGTGTCTAGAAGATTGCCATGCAGTGGACGATATGAATGACAAGCTCGTGAAAACTGTCCATGCGGTCGAAGCTAAGTTTTGTAAGACCCGCCGCAGAAGAACACAAACACTCTCCGATCAAACTCTTAATCTCATGGCCGTTAAACGCGAAGTTTAGTTTAGTGTAGTTTACGACGGGCTGTTTTCCGCAACTCCACGTCTATGCGCGTATTTTGCATGTGGGCAGGAATAATGTGATTATTCGAGCCAAGAGATCTCTGAAGAAGTTCAACAGTCACTTGATGTTGCATGCAACTTCGGGGAGTGATCCCGGCGTGCCGAGATGTTTAGCCCTGTACGTAGCGACCTCCGGACATTTCAGTAGCACGTGGGCCGCCGTTTCTTCTTCCCCCATACAAGCCCTGCACAGGGGACTATCTATAACACCTATAGTAAATAAATGTTTGTTAAAGGTGCCGTGTCCTGTGATAGCACTTGTTACTATCCTGATCTGCGGCTTGTTTAGTCTCATTGTAACTTTGGTTAAGCGACTGTTTATTTCAGGCAGGGCCTCCCTAGCTTATCTACAGTCTACTAGATTTTTCCAAAGCTGAGCGTGTTGATTAGTGAAGTGTTTACGTACCAGTGAACGAACGTTACTAAAGGGGATTGGTATAATTGGTTCCGGCCTTATAGTGGCCAGAGCCGATCCTCTTCAGGCCAGTTCGTCTGTTGCATCGTTGCCTCTGGATCCACTGTGTCCCTTTATCCATTGCAGAGTCACATTGTTGTTTTTACACACCTCGTTTAATCGTTGATGGCATTCATATATTAGTCCCGAGTTCACCACATTGCAACTCAGAACTTGTAGTACCGCCCTACTGTCGGTCAGTATTCTGATGGGGAAGTCATTAACCTTCCTAGCATCTATTGCTATGGCCGCTTGATTGATACCCATACACTCCGCCTGAAATACCGTGTTATAGGTACCCAGCGGTGTGCATATGTGAATATTGAGGTCTTCATAGAAAGCTCCAGAACCTACACCTTCATTTGTTTTAGAACCATCGGTGAAAACTCTAAGCTCTTTTGGCTTA